CATGAGAATGTCCGCGGGTTCGATTGGCGTCTCCTGCAGTCTTTGCTTGGCCAAGACCACTATGTCCAATCGTCTCGGTTGTTTTCGCCCTACCACTTGGGTTACCCATGCAACCGCCCGCGAATTTACTCGTTGCTATTCCGACGCGACCGGCTGGAGTCCCACGCGGATTTTGATGGGGCTTGTTTCGCCAACGCGATGTTCCGCAAACCTGTGGTGGATGCTTCGGTCTACTTCGACTTCGGCTTCACAGCGACAGAGAGGGGCGCCCTTCGCGAACGGGCGCTTCAACAAGGACGCGTGTTACAACCGGGGGCCGAGACGGACAGAGATAACGTCACGGCATACATGAGTGGAGTTTATCGATGCCGCCTTTCCCGTTACCAATCGATGGCACAATGCGGCGAGTTCGTTTGTAATTTGATGCAGAGGCCGTCATATCTTCGAAGTGTGAGTTACATGCCAACGATACTTTGCAGCAGTCTCATTGTGAACCTTTCAACTGGTATGCCTCTTACTGCCCGCGGCTATTTGGTAGTCCAGGGCATGCCCGTGGACGCAGGCCCTATATCGGTACTCCTGAGGGCGCCAAGTACAGATGTTATTTGGGATTCGGGCGTTCGCAGGCTGGCAGGTAATGGCATGCACGTTCCTTCCACCGGGTCTTGCGTAGCTTGGGCCCTGGGGCACTTGGATTTCACAACAAGCGCGGCCATCTTGGCGCACTTGCAGACCAGGCCACTAGATGCGCAGATGGAATTTGACTCCGAGTAATCAACGTTCTCTTGCATGTGCGCATTACCCAAGTTACCCAAGGCGGGCGCGCAGAAAACAAAACATGTAGACATGTATGTGTTTAAAAACTTGCTAACGGCTCTCGATGAGTAAACCGCTCCAGGACGACCGTCCATAACAGTGACGGGCAGGGCGGGGTAGGGCGGGTAATCCGTGACGCGCCAATTCCCCCCGCCAGCAAGTTCAGAATTCCTGCGAGGTCGGTCCAACGAGGGGCGTAGCTAACAAAACAGTGAAGCAGACATGCCACCAGTTGCGTGGTTAAGGACATCGGGGTGTTTCTTGGGAGTATCCAATGCCATGCTGGGTTTCTCGCGGGGCTCTCTGCGTGCATCCCAGGCCCGCCCCAAACCTAACAACCTAGTTACCTATTCCGCCCTCCCCAGAGTTAGAAACCTACCGACCAAACGTGGCTCCTCCCCCTCCTCCTCCTCCCCCCCCTCTTCGTCCTCCTCGTCCTCCTCCTCTTCCTCCTCCTCCTCGTCCTCCTCCTCGCCTCCTCCTCCTCTTCCTCGTTCCCCCCCTCCCCCTCTCCCCGTCCTCTTTCCTTTTCCTCCCCCGCCCCCTCGGCCTCGTAAGATGTTCAAGCCTGTCCGATAGGGAAGAGGCACGCACCCCCGCCCTCTCCAAACCTAGAAACCTACTTGCTCCGCCCCCCGCATTGCGAGGAATAAACCGGGTCTCAAATGCAACCTTTTGCTCGGCTTTTGCTCTATCTGTATGCCAGCCAACAGGCGGTGTTTGACCGTTTGAC